AGACATTCCTGCAAACTCCATCTAGATTAAGTGAAGAGGCTTTGGGAGCAGTCAGTGCCCAGTGACACATACTGCAAGTTTCCAAGTAGGAGTCATAGATCCATGCGACCCTTCTTGCAATATCTCCCCTTCTAAAGCAGGATGTAAGAAGGCCCTTTGTTCCTTACGTATCATCCGTCTTTGAAACACACTATCTGTCTAGTAACAGACTCTTTAGGACATAGCAGATAGAGAGAATAATGCAACTAGAAAAGCCTGTAATAGTTACAAATAACATCCGTGGTTTAAAAAGTATTAAACATGAGATTAGGGTTAATCTCTGGCAGGACACTTATATAAATGCTGCTGATTTTAAAATTGTTTCTTCCCAAGGCAGGAAAAAGGAGTTCTAACCGATGAAGTACATGCGGGAAAACAAAGGAGAGTTTAAATATTTATGAAAATCATATACGCATGCCATAAGGTGGAAAGGAAATTACAATTTGGAGAAAGTGTTCATGTTAAGTAAGCTTGTTACTTGCAGTAAGGCCTAAGGAAGCACGTCCCGTAACGACATGCTTCTGGAAGGCTTCTGTCTCCTTCAGATAGCATTCGTCAGTACAGCTTCCAATTACGTTCCGTATTTCTCATTAGAACTGGTCTTACCCTGACTGAGTAATTGCTTTTTGATTATTTATTTTTTATGGTGTTTCTAACATTAATTCAGAGGGGATGTAAAATTTCAACACATCAAAGACCATTAGATATTCCTATGAAAAATGGAGAATTGACTTAGTACATTTTAATTACACCCTGTAGCTCTGAATATGGGCTGAAAATTGGAGATAGGGCTATTCAGTGAAGGGAAGGAAACACTATATAGTTAGCTTATAACCTTAAACCTGTTTTTTGAAACTGAAGCAGTTTTTTTGCTGAATTTTATCGAAACAATGCAAAAAAAAAGTTGTCTTGTAATGATTTGTCTTCCAGAGGCGGGCTTCTTGCCCACTGTTGAAAACCCTCTACAAATGTCAAAGCTGGCATTTACTCAAGGGTGTTATTCTACTGATTTTAATGGACTTTTCCTAAACGTCCCAGCTAGAAGTGAAAGGAGAAATGTGAACGTCCTCGATTTTTCACTGTGGCATCCAGTTAATAATATGCTTTTGTACAATCTAAGTGTCTTGGGCTTTTTTGTTTGTTGGTATGTTTGTTTTAAGATGCAAAAGAACAGGAGTGAGTCAGAAAAGAAATTAAAAGCAACAAATAATAAACCCAAAAATCTGCCTGTGTTGTTCTTGGTTTTCCCCACGCTGTTAACTTGAAGCCCTCTGGGGAAGGTGAAACAAGCAGCTGTCCTGGCTACAGTCCAATCAGAATCTCCTCCTACAAAGCCAACTGCAAGCACAGAGAGATTGAGAATCTATTAGAAATACCCTGGGCTGGCAGCACTGTGAATTGAAAGTGATAAAATTAAGGGGCCATTTGACAGCAGTTACAGACCTCTTCAGTAACTACCTCTCCACGCTTGTGATTTTTTACAGAAAACGCTATGGGCTATGAACAATCAAAGCAGGAACCAAGAGCACCTTTTTTCCCCTCTGTAGTTCACGTAATGCTCTCTGTGAAAACCGGTGGTACGCCGCATCCTCAGTGAAGCTGGGCTGTATAGTCAAGGTACGATGCAATAAACTGTGACAAGAATACAAACTATGATCCAAATGCGAAGACCCTATTGCAATCATTGGCTGTCTTAACGCAAACATCCATAAATCGGTTTACTCTTTACGCATCTGGTTTGCCCAGAAGTTGCTTTATGTGCCATACAACCACTTTCATATGGATACAAACCTCATAAAGAAGTCAGGCTTCATGCAGCAGAATCTTGTATTTAATAAAGTGCTATTTTTCATACATACCTACAGATGCCGGCATTTCTCCCCACTGTAAAACAGTCTCCTTTGTGAAATGCCCATATATATCAATGTAGATGCCTTCATCTTCATAGGTGAGTAGAAGCTCCATTCCGCTGGTATTCGGGAGGATGATAATGGCATGTGGGCGAATAGTCCCCTGGATCTAGAACCATATTTTACTAAGATTTATATCAGAAAATGAACTGCAATTTTAGTGACTACATCAATCTAACTAGCTTGGCAGAGCAATAAAAAGACCTAGCTCATGGCTCATGGAAAGTGAAAGAAATGCCTGTTTTCAGAAAGGCTGTCTAGTTTGCTAGCTAGCCTCTGAAACAGGCTTTCTCCCCCCTCTCCCCCCTTCGAATATGACAGTAGGTCCGCAAACAAATCCACGTTCAATACTTCACTTTATATTTACCAATATTAATGGGTTTCAAGAAGCCATGGAGCCACTGAGACACAATAATATTTACTTACTCACTCACAAAACACTTGCATTATATAAACAGAAGAAAGGTGAGTCAAATTTGAATTCACAATTATTTCAGAAGATGGAGGAAGGACAAAAGCTTCCACATTCCAGGAAATCAGTGCTTTCACTTTCCATGATATGTCCCTATCCCCACTCACAAGCTAAAACCTGTACATTTAACAATATTTACAGCCGGGTGAAAAGTTACCTGGACCTCTCAAATACAAGCCACTCTCTGTCCTTCCCTTCCCACATCCTTCACTAAAAATAGTTCCCCATTTAAATGCTGTTCAGCATGTTTTCTGCATGCCACAGGAACAGTGCATTTCACTCGCACAAATTATTTTAACAGCTGTTCAATGCACTCGAATCTCTCCCAGAAGCCAGCATGTCCCAAGTGAAAAAAAGCCTAAGTATACAACCATGAAGGTGGGGTTTTATGAAAGCAATTTTGAAAGAAAAAGAGGACAGCCTTAAAAAACAATAACAAAGCATTTCCTTGTTTAAAGCACTACTCAAAACAGGATGTTAAATAGCAAATTAAACCACTACAATTAATATCTTTGTAGGAAGCATATGACTGGAGTTTCTACATCATTGTCACAAGCCAGCAACACACAGATCTTTTTTTCTTCAAGCACATACATTTAGGCACACTGTAAGGGCACAATGAACAGTAAAAGAAGCACTGAAGCTGTACTTGCCAAACTGAATACACTCAGGCCAACCACTTGACTCCGTGCCTCCGCAACAACTATCCGTAACACTAGAACGGGGATCCAGAGTCGCAGAGCAATTTTAATGCGTTGCCTTGGTACTCGCATGAGCGATCGAAGCAGGTAAGAGATGAAGAAAGAGGTGGGGAACGAGGAAAAGAGGCTACCAGAAAGCAAGAGTATCTAAAGTCAGCCTGTTAAAGTCTGGTCTGTTGCCACCACAAAGCTCCTTGAGAGAGTTATCCAATTCTAGCAGATGCTCTTTAAAATAATACAATACCGGAAAAGATTGAGCCACTGTAGCAGCAGATTTATTTCAGGTCTAAGACTCTAAAGGGAAAACATATTTTTAGTACACGCTAACCTTTGGTTGAAGAGCACACGCAAATGGAGTGAATCGTAAAGGTGCCCCACATATTCAAGACAGTCACCTGGGAAATCTCTCTCATCAGATACATAATGATATTTGCAGCCTGTTGAAAAACTAAAGCCTCCAAGAAGGTTCACTTTTTTCTTTGCCTTTCTTATCTTGGGCAATTATGCTAATGATCTTTTTGACAAGTCATTATTCACCTTGCTTAGCAACCAGCTTCCAGGCATCGTATGCAGGCACCATGCTTAGATTTATAAACTGATGTGAATTTTTCGTAGTTGCATAGTTAACAAAGCTACTAATTGTCAGATTAAATAAACCCTCTATATTAAGTCCCTTAAAAAAAACCCCAACACAGAAATAAACAGTACAAGCTTTTAGCAGGTGATTCAACAGTTTGTTCTGCACAGCTAGAAAAGTTACTGTTTAATTAAGAGAGGTTTATAAACTTAACAGCCATCCTCAAACACTGTGTCCATCAGAAACACAGGTCTGACAGAATCTGAAGGCTGTTGCTTGTCAAGGCAGCAGAGCGATCAAGTGGCTTGCACGGGAGGCGCGGGTTTTCACTTGGTTTGAAAATGCAGGGCTGAGAGTGGAGAAAAAGAAGTTAAAAAATAAAAGGGTTCAAGGCACAGGCTGCAACATGCAGATCCGGGGGGAGATTTCTTCAGACCTCCTGAGCGTAACTTTGGGAAACATTGCCTTGGGATCCAAGGAGGCCACGGCAGCCGGCTGAGCTAACCCTCTCCCCTGTGGAGCTCTGTTGACTTCAGGGAGGTTTTCAAGTGTGCAGAGAAGTTTCCTTGCCAGGAGCCTCCCATCAGACTGGAGCCATGGGAACCTGCTGGTTTTCTGGACCCAAGCCCCCACGTTTCCCTGGCTTTTTTTTTTTTTTTCATCTAGAACAGCTGAAAAATAAGCAAACTAACAAACAAAAAGATTAAGACCACAGCACAGACTTCATATTGGACAGCCCCATGCCAGTCGTTCACATCTGCAGGGGAATTACTTTGCGGTTATCCGAGTTTAAGCAGGAATTTAGTGATCACCATCACCTCAGCGAACAGATGTGTAATGCCATATGTACACATCAACCTGAAATCAACATCTTCGTGCCAACTTCTGGACAATCTAATGAGAAAATCCCGAGGAAAATATAAAAATTCTTTCGAATTTAAGGACTGATTTCACAGTAAGAAGATCAGCAAATTTATTTAGTCTGGAAATTGGGCTTCTGCAAAGTCACGACTGAAAGGCAAATCACATTTTGCACACAGAGCCTGTAATCATGTGAAACAAATGCAGCTTTGCTCCACGGTGAAGAAACTGGGATTATTCATGGGTGCACACGAATACCTGGCTCCTCTAGCTGCAGGTACTCATTGGTGCAAAGGTAACATGCTTCAGTGGATCAAGATTAAAATATGTTGCAATAGCCTTTGTAATCCAGGCCAAATTTCAGCTCAATTCAGTGATAATTTAATCAGCTTGTTAGCAAGATTGAAAAGCACACAGGCAGATCGTAAAAGTCACCTACATCGATGTAGATATTATTGTGTCTTTCATTGCTTAAGAAGTCCTAAAGATAAAGCAATTAAAAATATTACTGTCCATACAACAGGCTTTCTAACATTAAACCACTATAATTGATATTCTAAATGTGATAAAAGCCTTTTAACAGAACTTCAGTGTTATAAAAGTATGTGAAGAAAAGTAGTTTTCTATTAGCTGGCATACAATAATTATTCTCTTACCCTGTCTTTCGAAATACAGCACAACTCTTAACCCGATCATCATCAACATACAGCCCGAAGAAGAGAGGCATTTATGTAATTTTTTGGAGTATCTTACGTGTGTTGGAAGGTACAGGTCATACACAGATCCAGAGTCCACATCAATGGCGTGAAAGCCTACTAGCGAGCCATATATGACTTTTAATCTTTGTCCATTTTCAACGGTCAGGTCAACTGACAGTGGTTTGTGATGAAGAGAGGTAAAGGACTGGAAGAAGAAAAATACACTATATAACACAATAAAGCTGTTGGTTTACAGATCTACATATATGATCTTAAGAATTTTCAAAACTCAAAAGTTAGAGAGCTGTTTTTGTTAAATAGTATGTTACATTTAAGGAGCTAAGTATCCATTACCCACTGAGCTGCAAGGAGAGATGGATAATTCACTTGTGTTCTGAAAAAAATCCAGATTCTAGAAGTGGACTAGGCAAAAATTGGGCTGAGTACCATTCATGTGCAATTTCCTCCCCTTTTGAGGGAAATCAGCATCAACTTTGTGAACTCAACTGTACATTTTGGCACAGCACTAAAACAAGCTATTCACATCTAACAGAATCACGACTGTGACAGTTTTATGCCTGCCATCTCCAATGTATGTCAAATGAGCTACATTTTCTTTAAAAGAATACTCATTTTATCTTTAACTAGAAATAAATGTTATACAAAGCAACAAAAACCAAAAGCAAAGAGTAGATGAGAGACCGTGATACATCGGAACCAAAGGGAAGTTTCACTTACCTTAAAAGCCATGAATTTGTGATAAGGCTTTGGAGCCCAAGCATAAACCTCCACTGAGTTTTTCAAAGCAATTACAAGGAATTTGATTCTCTCATATTTTACTGTAATACAAGAAGAACAATTCCTTAGGTACCAGACAGACACTTAAATCAAAGACCATCTCATCACCTGAAATAATTTCAATGGACTACTTGTAGAGGTAGACGTTGTCCAGCAAGGGAGACTAATGGATTCTGGACACCTGTTTTTAATATCACCAGTGACAATACCTTGACTGAAAACCTAGAGTTCATTTATTCTCAGTAAAGCCAGAAGACTGTTAACAATATTCATATATTGCTTTTCATATATCTATGAAAAAAAAAAAAATATATATCTTACTAGTCAGAAACAAAGGTCTTGACCCTGCAGCTAAGTCAACCTACTTTATTTTTTAAGTGTGAACACACACCAACATTGCTGGTTGTGAATAAGCTACTTTTGGAGGAATGGTGGTTGTTGGCTGAACGATTCCGTTGCACTCTGCAGGATGAATTTTCACTTCACTGCTCATGTGTGGGGTTAAATCCCCACGTGCTAGTGTGGGCAAAGGACTCCTGTTTCCGAGATGAGTAAGCATTTAAGAGATGAGCAGCTTCTCTAAGTTGATTACGGTCATTTTGGGCCCATCGAGAATAAACGAAGAATCATGCATTGAAAATTCAGGCTTCTTTGTACATTGTGTTTTCACTCTGCCAGACACAAGCATTTGCTTTGGAAACAGAATGCTAGGGTATCGCATCCCAGTGCATTCACCCTTCATTTTATAGTCAGTGTCTGCTTGGCAGGGATTTTTAAAAGATGCAGGTGTTACGCAACTGAAGTAAGGTTTGTTTTCTGTGGGAGGCTTGATCAGCCCTTGCTGCTTATAAAAGGAGGAGTTCACACTGGCCAAACATCTAGCAGAGGCATGAAGAACGGATAAGGATGGACACTGGTCCAGAAAATCTCACATAAGCAGAGAAAGAATAAAAAAAAACCCAAACTCCCCCAAAATGCAGACCAGCACATCCTTTTCCTCTTCAACCTGGACAACCGGCTGTAAAACCAAAGGTCAAGATACAAGAAGATTCACCAAGAGAAAAACAACAGCAGCTGTGGTGTCAAAGTAGTAAGAGTGGCTTGTCATATGTAAACACAGAAGCTCCTACCAAATGTTTGCCTAATTTTAGGATAACTGTTTTTTTTAAAAAAAAAAAAAAAAAAAAAAAAAAAAAAAAAAAAAAAAAAAAAAAACAAACCACACCAAACCCAAAGTTTAGCAAATGAAGTGGAATATGTGGGTGCTTAGCTATAATCACAAAGAAAGTAACAACGCACATCTGTTTCACATTCTTTCTTGGATTTAACCCTTGCCACTTTTAAAGCTGTGAGATATAAAAGCAAAAAAACCTGTCAAGCAAGGTATTTATGAGAGTCAGCCACCTCGCTGTCTCCTGCACTCCTCTGTATCATTTCTCTATTGGACTTTGAAAAAAGTGGCACTTTCATATACTATCTTTCACCAAAGCAAAACTTGTGCATACATCACACCCCCCTCACGCAGTTAAATGACAGAAACTATCACAATACTGATGTTCATCGTCAAGCATGAACTGCCTGGAAGCCAAATAAAAGCAAGATGGTTTTTCAACTGCTACGGTACCATTTCCAGTGTGTAAGTTTAAACACAGGTATATTCAGATCTTTTATGATCTAGAGACAGGGATGAGCTGTAGCACATCCAATCTGATCTACCTATGGACATTCTACAAATATGATTTACTAGCACTTTACTAGTCCAGTTTCTTAGCAGTTACTCAGGGCCAGGAGGGAAACAAAATGGCACGGAGGTGGAAAACAGCAGTCTAATTAAAACCTTAAGTAACTACAGAACTTCTAAACCACTGCCTGAGCAACAGACCAGGGCTGGCACTCCCTTCTTCCAGCCGTCACAGGGAATACCCATAACATCATCCAGTAACTGCTGCAAGAAGAGATGCTACCTGGAATGACAGGGAACAAAGCATCTGCCATGTAAAACAAGGAGGTCTGAAAGAACTCATAGATATTCAGCCCAATACAACCCTGAAACAGAGCTGAAGAAAAATGCTGGTGTCATGAGATGCAAAAGGATGATTAAGCAGCTCTTCAAGGAAAAAACAAAAAGTCCTTACCCACTTTGTAGTGTACGCAGCCTTCCAGGTCACCCACAGACACCCAGCCCTGCCGCTTCTCCACCTCTGGGTCATTACGCAAAATTTTATTTCTCAGCCATGATAAGTAATATACCCTCAACTTATTCTTCTTCCCTAGGAATTGGAAAAAACAGACAGACATAATGCTTTAACTCACTGAAGTACAAACTCTCACACTTACAAAAAGCCAGAGTTTTGTGACCTTGAGTACAGCAGGTCTTTGTGCCTCGTCAAGGTGAGAGAAGAGTCCAGCAGTGCAAAAGAAAAGCCCTGTGTGACGGTGACACGCAGGAGGGAACTGGAACACGAGCAATCCTATGGCATTTGGCACCTCTACACTTACCTTGTGACTCAAGTTTCATGCAAGATTTTCACACCTGACTAAAATTTGTCCCTCAGGCCAAAGAACAGGTCTCTATACACACATGTATTATCAGTAATAATCCCACTATCTGGCATTTACTCTTTGATGTGAAGGAAGGAACCCATGTATGGCCTACAATGGCAATTCTGAATAAGTGACTCATTTAGTTCTAATTAACTGACAATCTTCATTACAAGTAGCTGTTTCCTTTTGGATGTCTTTCCAGGTGAGAATACTTTGTCATCTTTCATCTCAGTCAGTCTTTCTGTCGCTTTAGTTCCTAAGTACATACAGTCAACAGCAGCCTGGGATGACAGGTTAGTCTAAAAGAGAAGGACTGTGTCACATAAGAAACTGGACCTGGCAATATGGGACAAACAGCTCTCGCCATCACCTACCACGGTGAGTCTGGATCGGGGACAAGGAGCTGCCGTCCCCTGCTGCACCTACATCTCTCACCCTGTTATGTACTAAGCATCCTCTGAAGCCGCTCTCCGCCATGGGGAATAAGGGCCTCGGTACCCTGCAGGGCAGAGCCCAAGCTGTTTGCCAGCAGAGGCTGGAGACGCTACTCCATTTAAAGTTACTGATGCTTTCACAGCATAGATCATTCTCATGTTACTGCTTAATACATCTTGTTGAACACAGAATGAGGTTATTTAATGATATTTTAATAGAATTGCACTTAGACAGATGCTCAACCTTCACAAAAACAAGCAAACAGACTGACAAACTATAACTTGCTGAGAACCATTTCATTTTAAGGATATGAAACACATCATACTTCCCACAAACCATTTTATACATTAACCAGGTAATGAAATATCCCAAAGCCTCTCTGAAAGGAGAACGTAAATATTCAAAATTCAAGAGAGCTTTCCTATTAACAACTATAACTGTCCTGTGATCTTCTGTGAGAGGAAATTCCTCAACCTAGTTTATAACCTAATTCTTTTTAATTGCTTCCAACCCCAATGCAGGTCAGATACTTTTAGACACTGAACTAACCTGATATAGTAATTAGCACATTGAGTCCTTCCAGAACATCCATTTGCTGGAATCGTCTCCTTGTAATCAGTGAGTAAACTCTTCCTTGCCCGCTTCTGTCCAGCAGCCACAATCCGTTCTCTGTTCCCACCAGTAAATTTACTCCTGTTGATACATGGGAAAAAATACTGCATAAATCCCCTAATGATTCAGAAGCCACCGAGTGTTCATTGTTTTGAGAACTGATTCTTATTTAGTTTCACTTAATGGTACCTGATAATTTCTGTGTTGCTCTGTGGATGACCTCCCAGAAAAATGAATAGAAAAAAAAGGATCTCACCATTACAGTTTTTATCCAGCAGAACACTTATATGCCCACATAACTTGAAGGATAAGTAGTTCCACCAAAGTCAATGTTGATTTAAACAAAAAGGAAAATGTGTTGTGAATTGAAACTTCTCAGGCGACCTTGGAAAGTGCCTGTGAGCACTGCGAAAGTCCCAGTCCAGCATCACTCCACTGGCAACACAGGAGATCCAACTAAATGATCTAAGGGTCTCTACCAATTTAAAAAAAATAAATAAATAAAAAAAAAAAATATCCCTCTTTCCCCAAATACAACACTCAAATCACAGGAGGACCAAACTTGTGGGAAGAAGGGCTGCTGTTACGAGGAAGCGGAGTGTTTGTTTGAAAACAGTCTGTGTTTTACAAGAATGCTTTCAAATGCCAAATTAAAGGAGTGAATCCATCTAAAATCCAACTGGTCCCAAGGAAGCGAAGGCTCCAGTGGGTTGCTGACATCAGAGGATGTCAAAAATTGTGTTCGGTTGGCATGGCAGCTATGTTTCCTAATCAGCAGGTCCGAAAGAAACGGCATGAGGTATCTTGCTGTAACAAGCAACCTCCTCTACTGGCAATGCTCTGACGAGTACCTGGTGCTCCTCAGCCTCAACGCACATTTAATTACAGACCTTGCCACACAGCTCTGTTCTTAATTTAAAATCTTGGACTCCTACAAACATACATTACACAAAATCTGTGAAGCTGTAAACCAGAAATCTACATTTCCATTGGATAATGTTTCATCCACTTCATTCATTTCCCATTCCAGACTCAAAAAGTGAGGAGGAGTAAAAGGCTGGGTGAGTCCTATGGAATACGTCTGTTCTGACGTAGAAAGATGGTTAAAACAACTCAAGAGCTTAGCTAGTGTGAGACTGGGACAAGGTCTACAGTTGAAAACTGGTCTGACTACACTCCTCTTGGTTTTACACCACGTGAAGCTGACCCTGTAAAAAGGGTGATCCAGCGAGATTCGGAGTAAGCACTGACAGCAGAACTACGGAAGCCAAGCTTTTGGGAAGACTGACGCCTGACCTGCTTCAGATTCTTGGTATACCTAACACACATGACAGCAAAGGGCTTCAGGTTTGGCTTATTTCCACTGGGTCAGGACTTAGTGTGATCAGCTGTACTTGTATGCAGCTAAGACAAGAGTAAGTATCACGAGCCGCATAAGTTACTAAAACATTTGCAAGTTTTGGCTCTTCCAACAAGCACAGTTTCAATCTGGGGCCCGATCAAAACGTTTTCTCATTCTGATGCACAAAATCCTTTGCAACTGTAAGTCATCTGTTTGCCATCTTCTACCAGGAAGGCAGCGTCGTGCGAGTGACGCAGGTATCTACTCAGGGATCTGCTCCAGGACTTTCTGACAGGAGAGGTGCAATACAACTGTGAAATCTGCCTGGCATATGCTGCCAGCCTCTCCTGCTGCTGCCTTCCCTCCATACACACACCCAAGTACTTCTGAGCTTACCCCACAAAGCAGCACAAAGGACCTCAGAGTTGAATTTCTTCTTGTATTTACGGATTTCTGGACTGTCACTCTGCGGGCGGATATTCGTTGGGTTGACGTTGACAACAGAGCCCTTCCTTGCATTTTCTCTCCTGACAGGCTCAGATTTTGCACTAGATGCTAGAATGAAAGGCATATGCAATCACGAAAAGTGTGAGTGTTTGGCTACATCTCACATTTGGGCTGTTTATGGCAGGATGAAAGAAACCCCAGAGGGGTGAGAAAACACCTCGGGAGCATTACATAGCCAGAGAGAAAGAAAAAAAAAAAAAAAAAAAAACCAACACTCTGGAAAATTCCCAAGGCATT